TGTTAATTTTAACTAAATGGTATTCTACCAATTAAATTGCAATTATTAAAAGTATTATGTGTTGTTAGTTTGTTTTTCCTTAAGTTTTAGTGTTTCTCTGTGGGAGATGACTTGACTTGTCTCCTCCACTGCCTGTGTGCCAGAGTTAATTTATGGCGTAGTTCCTTCCTGATAACAGACATTCTTTTCTGCAGGACTAACTTAAAGACCTCTTACTCAAACTAATCCTGCTCAATCTACCTTTTTCACATGTGATAAGATTAACTGTATAAAACTCTACCAATATTCAATGTTTCTCAACAAGACATAAACACACACGCTGCATATAATGCTTCGTTCACAAAGAAATATCATTCTCATTCTAAATCCGTACCTCTAAATGCACACCTATGAACATTGAGTGCAACTCAATGTGAACATTTGCGGTTCACATTGAGCTGCGCAGGCAGATCAAACACGATAGATTTAAGCTCGACTCTTACCTTGATGAATTCCCCAAAGAAACATGGATCCTCACAGGGGTTGATGTAAATGTCCACACAGGTGAGCCTGTATCCAGTTTGAGTGAAAGCAGGTGCGCAATCTGTGCCAAGGTAAACTTCAGAGACAAGCAGCGCCAACGTGCAAGGCGCCAGCGGTGTGATTGGTGCGCGCTCCCTGTTCAATTGATCAACTATAAAAACTATTTTAAAAAAAACAAAAAAACAACAACAAAAAAAAGAAAAAACTGTAAACCCATCTTTCTTTCAGGAAAGCCAGTAAATTGCTCACTGCATCAGAGATGCTTGCAGTGTGTATTATTTATTTTATTCTTTTTAAATATATATATGAAAACAGAAAACAAAGCTTAGCCTGGAGGGGGGCGAATAAAGCCTGGCAGCTGCCAGGCTTCTACCATACTGGGGAAAAATCTATTTAATTGTTTTGAGTTTTTGGTGCATCACTGAAAATCAAATTAAGTATGTTTTGGTTTGTATTCACATTATTATTTTCTTGGCATTTCTCTGCCTATTTTATTGTTACTTATTTCTTAATTTAGTGTTTTTCTACCTATGATGTTGGAATTTTGTGAAGCACTTTGGTCAGCTGGGACCAAACACATAGTAGATTCAGCAAATAACAGTGTGAACACACATAAACACAACAGTCGTTTTAAAACAACACTGTGAGAAAAGTTCTGCGGTTTTCTCAGTGTGCAGAACTGTTCTCTAAAGGTCAAGAATATTCTGGTGAAAAATCTCTTAATAGAGACAAAAACAAGAACAACCCAACCAGGGTGAGTGGAGGGGCTGACCCACCCACCAGAAAATGGAAGGAGTCTTTTATCACAACCACTGGAGAAGCTGAGGAGGCATCAATCTGAACCAATGGAGAAGCTTTTCTCCATTACCTTACCTCCCGAGGTTGAGGTAACCAGAGAAGCAGAAGTAGCTGGAACTGATGGTGGTTTGTTTAAAATCTGGGCAAATGCAGCTTGTTAGTTCCACTCCACCTCATCAAAAAGATCTGACTTTAAAACTGTTTTTGGACTGACAACAGCACTCACCCATTCCAAGACAAGGTGAGGGTGGGATATTGGTCATGTTTAGTTCTCATGTTTTTAAAGAAGTTTCTTATGCTTTCACTCTGGTGGGGGTCTGCTGGTTCCATTTGATTGGTTTCTTCTGTCATGATATGTAGATAAAGAGGACCCAAATGCAGAGCGGCAAAGGTGTTGAGATTAATCGTTAAATGAGAAATGAAGAACACAGGAAATACAGGAAGCCAAAACAGAGCAAAAACAGGAATCCAGGAAATGAAGACAATAGGGATATATCAGGAAAATAATGGAGAGATTACATGATTTGACAGGAGGAACCAGAAAGGAAGAACTGAGAATGAGTTGTATAAATACTGGAAGGTTGATTACTTGGCAAGAATCAAATGATCAGAAGCGGGTTGAAGGTGCCGCATGAGGTATGGAGAGAGAGAAAATGGGACAAGAGGCCGGAAGTTGGAGGGATACACAGTGGACTAGGAAATAAATCTAACAATAACTAGACCTAAGAAACATAACTAAACTAGAGTAACAGTAACCAGAGGCAAAAAATAAACTAGAATTACTGAAAAGAAATGAACTAAAGAAAACAAAAGCAAGACTGGTCTAATCAAAGCAAGATATGAATAATAATAAAACCTCAAACCAACCCACAATCCTAACCCAAATAAGGAGTGATACATGGTTTGGATGTGCAATTGAAGGGAGGGCATGTTGTTGGCAGTCTACAAAGATTGAGTGCACAACTGATTAATGGTGCAAAAATGGCTCAAACCGCCCTATTTAAAAGAGGATTTTATAAGTTAACAATCGAAACAAAGCTCTAAGAAGCTGTATATAACTCAGTCAAGTTGGCCCCTTCCCCCATCACACACACACTTTCTGATTTGGTACCCAAGAAAACTACTGTGGGGAAAAAAGGATCTACTGAGGCTGTCTGTGTTGCTTCTGACTGAAGAAATTATGTGGTTTAATTACTCTGTCCATAAGCTTCTACTGCAATTACAATGAATCCATCTTAATTCAGAACTTCTGCAGGTTTTCTCAAAAGCTGTCAAAGTTCTATTCTTTTAATTGTATATATTGGTACTACAGTTTATGCTGCCCTCACAATGTGTTGGTCTTGCAAAGCTAGACAGCTAGCTAACACCTGAGTTGAAAATAATCCAGTCCTTGATAGTTTTCTTGTTTTATTTTGCAACTCTTTTCTGGTTTGTTTTGTAAAACTGTAACAAGCACAAAAGGATATATCATCCACAGACAAAATACAGAAAACAACTAGACAACACCAAACAAATGGCTTCCGACTATTACTAATTAGCTAACTATGTAGCTTTGTATTTTGGTTGGGGAACATAGAACGCTTTCTTATGAAATATTGCACAATACTGAAATATTAACTAATAAAATGAACTTACAGACAAATAGTGTTCAGGGGACAAACGTGTCTGAAGGACCCCAGCATACAGCTGGACAAGGTGTGGATGAAGGCTCTGTAGTTTCACTTACAATTTAACATAGGGAAACTAAACAAAACATAATGCTGGAGTCAGCAAACATTTGACTTGATGATGAACACAGATTTATCAATAAATCAAGGGTAATTTTCTGCCTTTAGTGTTTTAAAAACCAGGGATAAGTGGCTATAGTAAGTAGAAAATACAAAAATCTTTATTTAGATCTCTGTACAGTCGTTGTAAGAGGACATGGTAAAATGTATTGAAGCATCATGGAAAGAATATTTTAAAATATTGCAATATTTGTCAACTAGTCCATTTTAATTATTAATTTTTAAATATTTTTAAAAATTTCCTTACTTTGAACTTCTGTATTTTCCTTACAATAATAATAAATCACACCATGCCCTTTGTATGCTACTTCTAGAATCTAATAAATAGTCTCTGAGTTTGCACATTAAATGACTAAATGTGATTTAATGATGTGATGAATTGTCTGCCTGGCTAACAAAGACAGTTATTGCAATTATTGAAATATACCTCAAGATGGCAGTGCAGGACGATTTACTCCTCTGTACAGGACTGGTCATGTGGATTTTATGGCAAAAAGGGGATAATCCCATCCATACACTGCTTACACCATAGGGTATCACAGAAGTGAGATGTGATCTAAACAATGCAGTAGCACAAAGACACGTTCCCTCACCTATTGAATAAGAAGAAGAACATTGTGTAATTATTTATGTAAGGCATGAGGTCAAAGTTTTTACAATTATGGAAGAATTATTTTGGGGCTTTTAGTACCGTCCTGAAGCAAATATTGACAAATAAAAAGATTTAGAAATGTGTATATGACACTCCTGTCAAAAGGCACTAGCACCTTATGATATAGGTGTCTTAAAATAGGTTTACCCAGCCATATCTTGTTTTCATTTGTTGGTTCTATTGCATTTTTAATTTTTACTTATGTCGTACTGATTTGTGTATTATGTGATTTATTTCATGGGATTACAGATAGAATTTAGCACTTCACTAAATGCAGTGTGTTTACAACAATATTGTATGTTCATTCATCCCATTCAAATAAATGGGATGACCAAACAACTAAACATAAGAAATTCACTTAGTATCGTCTCATCATTACAGCGCCCTAACAAAGCCAAAGTGGATGTGTTCATGTAGAAAAAGCCTCCAGAATAGTCTGGCTTAGGATAAGTAGTTGTTGGGAGGTTGAACATGCCCTAGTAAAAAATATATATACTTTAGTATATTAAATTTTAACCTACTTTAGCATACTTTGATTTATGTACTTAAATTGTACTATTTACTACACTACAGTACTTACATTGTTTTAGGCTACAATTACATGGAAAGATTAATTACAGAAGATGTTCAAGGTAATTCAAATATTTTGCTTTATTACTGACATTTTAAAATTGTCCAATTTTACTCACAACTTTATGAACTTTACATGAATTCAGTTTACACGTCAAAAGTGAACACAATGAACATGAAAATTTAAGTGACAAAAAAACCACCAAAGTTATTACTTTAAAGAACAAAAATTATAATTACATTGTGCTTTCAATATATTACCATTTTGGTAACACTTTATTTGATCGGGTGTGCATAAGACTGACATGACACTGTCATAAACATAACATAAAATCTGTCATCCAACTTTTAAAGCAAGTTCTCATTAAAATTGTCATTATTTACTGAATGACACATCATGACACTGTTGGTATGTTCCCAACAGGAGTTATGTCATGTTTATGACAGCATCATATCAGTCTTATGCACACCCCATCAAATAAAGTCTTACCAAAAATTTTTTCAAGAGCCATTATACTATAAGACAATTGTACAAACTGTCAATACATTCAAAGTTTACAAACAACAAAATTATGAAAATCAGCACAATAAAACAATAGGTACACTTTAGAGGAAATGTGAAAACTGTTCCACCAAGGTCAGAGTATTGTTTTAATTCAGTCTCACAGTATTCCAGTATTACTGCAGACAAACTGACATTTCTCCTTCCTAAAAACAGTGAAGATCAACGACAGAACATTCCTATTCACTGCACTTTACGGAAACCTACAAAAAATAACAATAGAACAATTAAACAGAGAAAGCATTTGTATTTTAAAGAGTACACAAAAATGGCAAATAAAAAAATAATACTTACAATTTTAAGACGTTGTGGACTCGCTATGTATGTGGCATCATCAGAAGTGATGATGATTGGGACCGAATGCCTCGGGTGGAAAAACATTTCTGGGTGTCTTCTTTGCCTGTTTATGTTAGAAGTAGAAAAAAATAGTCAGCAATATCATAGAATCAGTTGATGTTGGCATTAACTATGAAGCTGTTTTAAGTGTGGACTTAAGGAGACAAACTACCTTAAAAGCTTTCCATCCATGATCTGAACACACTAATCTTTGCAGGGTAGTGAAGGGGGCTGGTGGTGCTCATCTCTAGCAGTCATCAGATGAGAGGCAGGGCTCATCCTGGACAGGTCACCAGTCCATCACAGGGCCCTGAAAGTCAAGAACAAATAAAATGTATGAAAGAGAAATGTTAGATTAACAAGGGGAAAAATTCTGTCCAGTTACCTTTAAATCAAATCATGTTTATTAAGCACTTGGTGTTGGTAACACACCAGTTTTTGTTGTTGAAAATGTAGCTGGCTCCTCATTAAAACAAAACAAAACAAAAAATACTTACACCATTAAGACGATGTGGAGGTTCATCCTCAGAGCTGGTTGGTGATCTGGTGGAGTCAGAGCTTCTGAGATGGGAAAGTCTGAGTTTCCTAACACCTGATTTCTCTGGCTTCCTCTTTCATCTTCATTTGCTTAGACTGCAAAAATATGTTGAAGATAAAAACATTGATGAACAAGTTATAACAACCTCACAATATCAAAGTCTCTCTGTCTTATGGAGCTTAATTAAAATCAGGTTTAGTTTATGAATAAAAGTATAAGTCGCAACAAACAGCCTCCATGCATTTATAACATGAAGCTGAATGATTGCTATAGTAATAATCATACAAGTCACAATAAAATTGATAAAATAATTATTTATGAAACCAACGTAAGCTATATATCTTTACTGCACTGTTTATAATTAAATGAAGATAATTAATAAGCAAACTTACCACTAGCTAGCAACACGTTAGCAGCCTTCGTCCCTCCGGGCTCCTTTTGTGACACACATTTCATTGCCATCGGTTGTTGTCCCGTTGTGTTGTCGTCTAACTCGGACTAGGACGTCACCAGCTTGAATTTACCAAAATTAGTAACTATTGTCAAGACCCTCTCTACTTTTAAGGAAATATTATGCGAGTAAAAATGGCGAATTTGAACAGCGCCTGTTATCTTCCCTGCGTTCAAGTTTTTTCTTCTCTTTATGGCGTTTTTTTTTTAAATGAAAGTGTGCAATACCGCCACCGTCTGGTCTGGAGTGTGAACTGGAGCTAATCCTGTTGATTATAGATCTTACATCATTATCTGAAAATGGATTGGGTACTTTCTTAAAAATTACATCATGATTATAATTTTTTTATTCTTTGCAATTTTAACAAAAATAGTAAAAGATTATTAAGGCATACTTTTAGGTACTTAAAAAGTATGCCTAAAAATTACATGAAAAGTACTTTATAGATGCCTAAAAGACATACTTCTGCATATGTATTAATTAGTTTTATTTTGTAGTCAGTGTTGCTGCCCATGTCCCTCTTGAAAATGAGATCTGGATCTCAATGGGGTTCATCCGGTTAAATAAAGAAAACAAATAAAAAGGCATATTTTATTAGCCTAAAATTTACACTGAGATGTAATTTAAAACATAGTGAAA